GTGGTGGTGATGATGATGATGATAGGATTGATGCTATGGCAGTCGTCCTGGCAGCAACCCCACATTTGCTACTACCACGACATGAGCCCCCACGAAACAATCGCCGCAGCACCGCAGCTACTCCCCAGCTTGCTGAATCATGCCTTGTACCATCTTGTACCCTTTGTCGAACCCTGCACTGCACGGCTCTAGCTTTCCACTATGAGCCAACGATGTCAAAATCGCCCCTGCAGCCAACCTGCAATCTTCACCTCTGTGTGCTGCACGTGCAGGGCTGCCAAAATCTCCGACTCATTATGGCAAGCTGCCACGAGAACCTCGTCGAAGGCAAATGTGCTTGGGCCTGCTTCTCGTCGACATACTGTCGCTGCCACATGCCTCGTACTCCACTACCGGGCTTCCACCATCCTCCACAAGAAAGAAGCGTGTAGATCAGTAGCTTTTTGAATGCAAGGTCAAGCTGTCTTCCCTGCCTCTGGTGCTCGCCAGCTTAGACGGAGTGGTCCTGCTCCAGCTGGCCAGCGCGACCGCGGTGGCTTCGGTGCAGCTGGCAGGACACAAGATTCTACAGAAGCTTTCTCATCAGCTTGCACAATACTGGCACAATCACGTCCATCGCCTGGTGTGCCAGGCTTCGTCTTCAGAAGAAGAACCGCGCCCTCGGAGTCGCCCACGCAGTTCGTGCTGCAAACTCGGAGCGTGTACCTGAGAAACTCGAAGAGGGCAGGGCCCGTACACATTAGACTCTACAAGTAGCTGTTTACATTATGAACATTACTCAGCTATGCCGGTCCAAAACCGGTCCCTCTGCACAGATCCTCGCCCGACACCCACATCATCGTCGAATGTGGCGAGCCCAAGATACAAGTAGCCCAAGATTGCCCAAGGCTGTGTCTCCGAAGCTATGCAGGAGTTCTCAGAACATGCAAGCCCGAAGCGACCAACATCGACCAAGGCACTCTGTAGCAGCAAGCAGGGGCGGCAGAAGCAGCTGTGTGCCTGAGAATGGTCTGACATACCAAGATGCAACATGTTAGCAACGTGTGCGAGGTCTGAAATTTCGGCAAGAAAACAGCCCGTTCTTGCCAAGGCTTGAAAGATCGGACAAACTTCCGCCTTCCGTTTGACAGTATTAAATAAGTTGTCAGCGGAGTCATCTGTGCTTCTCAGCTTCGAGTTGTAGCTAGGCTCCCCTGACAGAGAACCTTTTCGCATTTTCTCGCGCGAGGTCTTGCAACTGTAACTGTCAAAAATTCCGTGCTTTCTTGCCTTTTACATACAGCTCGCCCATGCCAGCTTTCTTAAACCAGTAGTCCGACTTGTCCTCGTCCAAGGGCACACCATCGCCTTTACGATACCTGAATCAAAAGGTCAGGTCAGGATGAAGCCAGGCAGCACATGGAACAGCGAAGCATGCGCAATTCAGCATGTTGCATGTTGCCCAAGTTCTTCATAGCTTGTGCGTGACCTTCTCTGGCAGCTTTCTCGAACCACATCGCTGCTGTGGCTTTGTTCTCCTCAACCTGATTCGAAAGCACGGTCAGGTGCAAGACAAAACAAGCATGAAAATGCTCTGCGTTAATATGCTTAATGACTTCATGTCTTTCCTCTGAATTCAAGCAACACCTTCCCCCAGGTAGTAGGCAGCGCCCAAGTTATTCTGGGCAGCAATGTGGCCAGCTTCAGCTGCCTTTTGGTACCACTTGGCAGACTCAGCCTTGTCCACTTCGATCCCCTCACCCCGTTCCAGCATAACACCAAGACTGTACCTGGGCCAGACACGTTCTTGCTGTCTGAAGGCTAAAACGGGGCTTACTAACTTTCTTGTGTGTGCAGGGCGCTGGGCTTCCATCAGACCCTGCTCGGCTGCTTTCCGGTACCATTGAGAGGCAGCCTCCCGATCCGCCGCCAATCCGTTTCCTGGCGAAAGACCGCAAGAAAGAAAACCCCCCTCTGTATGACAGTGACTGTCCCAGTGGCCCTGACGGACTACGAGCTGACTGCGAGCAAGCATCCGAAGTGGAACATCATCGCGACGTTGTACTGAGCTTCCTTGCGGCCTTGTTCAGCAGCCTTTAGAAACCATCTTCCCGCCCTCCGCTTGCTTACCTTCACCCCTTCGCCCTCGTGGTACATCTCGCCCACGTGATACTGGCCATCCATGTCTCCAGACTTGGCGGCTTTCATGTACCATTCTAAAGCGAGCTCCTTGCTTACATCGATTCCGTCGCCGACCCGATACATGTAGGCTAAATTGTTCATGGCACGTGTCACACCTGCCTGGGCTGCGGCTAAATAGTACTTGAAAGCTTCTTTCTTGTTCTTCTCCACTCCATCCCCCGTTTGCAGCATGACTCCCAGGTTGAACTGGGCCTCGGGCACTGGAGGCTCTGCTGCCCTTTTCAGCCACATGAAAGCTTCTGCCTTATTCTGCGGCCTGCCAAGGCCGGTGTAGTACATCTCTCCCAAAGCGCTCTGAGCAGCTCGCTGGCCCCCCTCGGCGGCCCGGAGCAACCACTCAGCAGCCGAGGCTTGGTTCGCCTCCTGGCCCTCCCAGCCCTTCAGCAAGGCCTTGCCATAGCGGAACTGCGCGTCCCGGTCTCCGTCCTCTGCAGCCTGCCGCAGGTCTCTCATGTCCTCAGTAAATACCTCGGGCAACACGGCATCTTCCGAGGAATCAGAAGCATTTTTTCCCTCGACGACGACGGTATCCAGAACTTCGACCTCTTTGGGCTCTTCCGGTGCAAAGCCCTTTTTCTTGGCCAGGAGCATTGTTGTCACACAAGGTCTTCTCCTGCTCCACAATCCGAATAACGTGGCCACAACCAGGCGACTGGAAAGGCCGCATCTACCGCATCCTCGCCCATGTCCCAATGCAGGCGGCCTTCCAGGTACTGAGCCGTGGGTCTCCTGCGCTCGTGGCTCCGCGTCGAGACAAAATCACGAACACGGAAACAGAAACACCGGCACACTAATTAGAAAGAACTGCAACAGAATGCAGAACAGCAGCCGCCCGCCATCGAAATCCATCGAGCTGCGCGGGATTCGCTGAAATGTGCAAGGCGGTCGGTTGCAGACAGGCTGCATCGCCCATGCTTCCGAGACTCTGTTGCAATGGCAAAGCTTTTGTGCATTCGGCTACGGCCTGGCAGGGCCTAGGTCTAGAACGATCCCGCGAAGTCGTCCGATTCTCCGCGGCTGCTGTTAGTTCCTACAGCCACCGGAACCAAAAGCGATGAGGAGTAGAAGCTGTTGCGCATGTTGCTGCTAGCACTTCTGGAGCCCAAAATACGTTCATGAAGCATAACGATCAAGACCTGACGTAAGCCTGTGTCAAGCTCCTCATACCCAGTTTCTGCCCGCCTTTGACAAACTCTTCGTGCTAGCCTTAAGCATTGAGCTGTGTGTATTCAATAGGTTCAATAGATGCATCAACAGACATGCGCACACACGTACATACACACATACAACACACGTAAACACGTACATACAAACATGCACACTTACATTGGACCTACATGCATACATACATACATACATACCTACCTACCTACCTACCTACCTACCTACCTACCTACATACATACATACATACACACATACACACATGCATGCATAGATACGCGACCACACCTGCACGACCATACAAAACACGATCATGCCATGCATGCATAGATCGCGATAGTCCTGGGGCCGGCAAACTTGCAACTGACATGTTCAAAGTACGAACACAGTGTGTGCCTTCGTCTGCATCTCCAACATCTACATCGCTGTTTCCATGGCCGCCTCTCATGACGATGCGGAACAAGTCGTATGGCATAACAAGCAGACTCTGCTTCGAAATCCTCGCCTGCGGGCTTGTAGAGCTCAAGCGACGCGTGTGGCTTCGAGGGCATTACCTTCCGCTCCAACCGCTTCGCTGCAGTTGAACGCTGGCGGCTGCAACTGCCTGGACTCGGTAGCCAAGGATTGGCGCACCGCCGTCGTCGCAGCCAGGAGCCCACCTTCATTCCAAGGCTCGAATGGCTCGACGCGTGACCACTGAAGAGCATCAATTGGCTAAAAAAGTGCTTCCACCTCAGCAACAGGTGGCCCGCATCTGCATCAGCCACTTCCAGCTGTCTTGGCGGCTGTGGACGTGCCGCAGCCGTTCGCATCTGAGACATTCACCGGAAGGGTGCAGCGGATAAGTTTGCAGAGATCCTAGAGATACGCCCCGGGCATTTTCAGCGGCCGTCCACTTCAGGGGGGCTTTTTGATTTGCCCAGCTCACTGTACAAGAGGCTGAGACATGCACGAATTTGATTGGAGAAGTGTTCTCTATGCACCACCGAGCTTCGAAGAGCGGAGTTCGGCCGTCTCCAAAATGAGCTCAGCAGCAAGCGGCAGGCCGCCTGCCTGGCGGATCTCAGCACTGATTGCCTCGGCCGTAGCACGAAAGCTGCTCGTGCCTTCCAGTAGCTGAGCTACGGAGGACCGGAGTGCCTGAGCAGTAAGGCTCTCAAGCGGATTGCGGAAGGCGAAGCCAGCACCTCGCTGTGCTACCGCATCCGTATTGCCGGGCTGGTCTCCGAACATCGGAACGACAACCAACGGCACCGAAAAACTCAGAGCCTCGTGCATGCTGTTGGCACCGCCATGTGTTACAAAAGCATCACATCTTGGAAGCAGCTCAAGCTGTGGAACGGTTTCTTGCAACAGGAAGTTGTCTGGAACTTCTGGAAGCCCGTCGAGAGCATCTTGGTGTGGCCCGGTTGCCAAGATCACGAACATGTGCTCGTCATGCCGAAAGGCCTGGTAAGCTCTCCGAATCACGAACTGCAGGAACTCTTTGCCTGTAGTATCTTGCAATCCGTTCTTGCCTGCATGGGGGCCGAACGGCTTCTCCCAAAAAGCGGAGGTGGCAACTGTTCCCATGGAGATCAGAACCACCTTCTTGGAAGAAGCAGATGCAGACTCCAGCTGGTCCCATGGAAACCTGGTCGCCTCTGTGGCAGCTGTCTTTGCATGGGATATCCTTTTCACCGACGGGCTGAGCAGTGGGCCAACACATCGAAATGGGAAGTGGCCAAAGCGTGTGAGTTGTGTCGGGGTGGTTGGAGGCATGTACAATGAATCTACCGTCGTAACAACATTCTGGTCCGGCGAATAGAACTCCAGAAAGCTGCCATGCTCGAAGATGTCGATCTCGTAGCGGTCCTTGATTTCCTGCCGGCCGCGGCAAACTGCGTCTTTGGACTCCCAGCTGTCGATCAGGAACGGTGGTAGTGCTATCACCCCAGGCCCGGTAAGGGTCACAGAGCCGATGCAAGGGATGCCTAATTGCTTGGCAGCCACAAGGCCCTGTGGCAGAAAGGGGTCGTAGATGATGGTCGTTGGAGGGGGCTGAAGAGTCTTCAGCTCCGAGAGGAGGCAAGGCAAAATTGAAGCTGCGATAGCAACCGCGGACATGGGGAATTCATAGTCTTCCTTGGGAGCTCCCTCTGGAACGTAATGTGCCATCTGCTCCTCGTTCATCTCCATGGGGTCCTGCATGTGTCGCCAGCTCGCTCCAGCAGCCTCCACCACCTGACGCAGCGGTTCATCAACGAAATAGGTGACTTCCACCTCCCGCTGCCTGAGCTCCGCAACCAAGGGCAGCGTTGGGTTCATGTGCCCTGTGCCCGGAAAGTTCAGGAAAACCACATGCTGCCGCTTCTCTGCCATGGCCTCTGCTAAGAGGAGGCTTCTTGAGGAGCTTGCTTGTGCCAAAGACCCTTAGTGTCATGCATCCGGGAAAGCTCTTGTACCTTGAAGGAATCCTGACGAACGGTCTGGTCCCACCACACCGCCCACTGCAGTGGTGCCCACTGCAACAAGCCTATCTACAGAATTCTGCACAACTGGAACAAAGATATGCTGCCCCCAAACTGCCAAAAGCTGTCTGTGCAACACCTGACCTTGACTGCTGCATGCTCTTGACTGTTAGTTTGCTTTGGCTCATCCTCCGAGGGCCTCCACGGCTTTGCAAAAGCAGCCCTTTCCTTCAGCGCTCAAAGCCGCCACTGCGACACCTGCACTGCACTGCACCTACCATGCATCCCTGCTCGGAATCCTAAAAGAGACAAGGAGCTGTACGCAGTGTTCTTTGCAAGGCCGCGAAGCCAGGCCGGCGAGCTTGCTGTCACCGTCTCTGCCTCGAACCGATGCTCCAAAAGAGGCAGATCACTTAACCGCACTCAAACCGCATCTCTGAGCAAGAGTGCTCTGCAGTCTCACCCGGAATGTCGGGCTACGTTGAGTCAAGCAACCAAAAAAACAGAAATCCCAACCGCTGCTGATCTAAACCCAAACCTAACTTACCCTGCCATACTCTTCCCTAACTTAACCCCCCCTTAACATGACCCTAACTCAACGTACCCTAAACCATAACCCATAACCTACCCGACCCTACCCTAACCTGAAAACTTAAAGGCCCGGCTTAACATGACCCCAAGCTAACCTTAACCTGTCATCCTATCCTGGACCGGAAGCGAACCGAAGCCTACCATACCACACCCTACCTAACATAATTCCTACCCGAACCTATCTTCCACCAGCACCCAAACTCCCTCCCCAATCCCAGCGTGGTAGCCTAACCTCCGGAAGTCCTAAGGTTTAGCCCAGCCTCAACCGAACCTAACCTAACGCACTGATCTAACCTAGCCCCAAAGATCAGCTTCTAGAGTTGCCTCCACTCTCGTCCAGCGACATATTATGTGTTGCTTATCGGTTTTGTGGTTCTGTAGTCGGGTCATTTTGGTTAAGGAAACAGCAAGGGACGCTGTGGGGGCGCAGTTTTTCCACACACAAAGTTTTGCGATGTTTTGTGGATTTGAGGGATTTCTTGAATGC